AAATTTTATGACTACTATTATTTACATTAGTATTTGGTTACTGACAAGGTATTTTCACAGAAACCATGTATTATGGTGGTAAAAATGTTGGATTTTACAGCCAGAAACGTCTAGGTTAAAATCCTGGCTGTTACTCTGACCTTGAACAAGTACCTTGAATCTCTTTTGTTTCCCCATTTGTTAATTGGTAAGACCTATATCCATCTCCTAGACTTCGTGAGAAGATAACAAGACATGACATACATAAAGCATCTGGCATGTGTTCAAATAAATGTCAGGTCATTTTATTCTCCTTATTTGTACTGCAATCGCTTCCTTGAAATCAGGGTTAACGTCTTAGTCATCATTGAATCCATAGTGCCTAGCACAGTGTCTGACAGAATAAATCTTTGTTAAGTAAGAGAAATGTTATCTTATTCATATCTCAAACATTTCTGCGATGAAGATGATATCCCCATAGGAATGATAAGAATCTGAGGGCCACATAAGTTGAGTTTCTCACCCAAGTTTTCTTAAGCTAGAAAATGTCAACATAAAGAAAAATAACTTTCTAAATTCAAGTCTGGTGCACCTTCCATGGTATGATAGTATACATAGGCATCGGAGGCATATAAAACTATATCTTATTGTGTTTCCGTGTATTCCATGTAGTGCTCAAAAAAAAAAAAAAAAAACTCCACACAGAATGGTCACCATTACCTGCATTCTATTAAGTGGAATTCAATTCCCTATTGAGCAATTTCTATTTATCATTTATGCCTGTATCTGTATATCTGCAAGAAAGTACAACATAGCAAAAATGGTTTCTAACACCTATATCCTCAAAGTCCCCATGACGGGTAAGTATCCTTATTACAACAAATTTGGATTCCATAGTAAGAGTCCTGCCCCATTTAACTTTTTTGTATTTTTTTTCAGTAAAAAATAGGTGCAAAATAGAGGCACCAGATGTTGGCAAGGATGTAGAGAAACTAGATCACTTTGTGCTTCTCATGGGAATGTAAAACGAAACAGCCACTCCAGAAAAAAGCAGTTTGGCACTTTCTTTAAAAACTACACATTCACTTACCATAACAACCCAGTAACTGTATTTCTAAGCATTTATCCCAGAGAAATGAAAACTATGTCTACATGAGAACCTGTACATCATTGTTCATAATAGCTTCATTTGTAATCACCCCAAACTGGAAACAACCAAAATGTCCTACAAGAGGTGAAGGTTAAACAAGCTGTGATATACCCACACCATGGGATACTACTCAGCAAAAAACAACAACGAAGGAAAAAAAAAAAAAAGAAACTACTGATGCACACAACTAACTGGATAGATGTCAAGGGCATTGTGCTGAGTGAAAAGGCCAATCTGAAAAGGTAACCTACTGTATGATTCCACCATAAAACGTTGTTGAAATGACAAAATTGAAGATATGAAGGAAAAATTAGTGTTTGCCAAGTTAGGGACAGTGGGAGATAGTAGATGTGACTACAAAGGGTTAGCATGACATAGATGTTTGTGTTGACAGAAGAGCTCTACATTCTGATTGTGGTGGTAGTGACACAAATACACACATGTGATAGAAGGACCGAGAACCACACACACACACTGTGCCATTGTGAACTCCCTGGCTTTGATACTGTTATAGTTACATAAGATGTAACCACTGGGGGGGGGAGGGCTGGTTAGGTGAAAGGCACACAGTATCTCTCTATCTTTGAATATTCCTATGAATCAAAAGTTATTTCAAAAACTAAAAATGGATGTAAAGCCAAATGTCTCAAGCTTCTGGTAAAATTTTCTACATTCTCTATGATAAAATAACACTTTCTCATTTTAATGGCCCCAAAATAAAGCCTAGTTCTTATTTTCATAGGGCATTTTGGGGGAAAAAATATAAAACAATCATATGCAAAATCATTAATTGTGTCTTCATTTCAGATACTGGTATTCCTCTCCCATCCATCTTCATTTCATCTTCTGGCCTTTCAAGTCTCACATCTTGAGCTTACCAGTTTACATCTCAGTGACCTACATAACCCTCAAAAATTACTGTTCCCCCATGTCTTATTCTTTTATTCCCATGAAACTGTATAC